GCTTCATAATTGCCTCATGGCCTGATTCTAATGCTGCTTCAAGTGCATTTCCATACTCTCCTCCCTGTGCATTTACATCTGCTTCCTTGTCTATGAGAAGTTTGCAATTGCCTTATGGCCTTTATATGATGCTTCCTGCAGTGCATTTCCAAAGTGTCCTCCCCCCTGTGCATTTACATCTGCTCCCTTGTCTATGAGCAGCTCTGCAATTGCCTCATGTCCACCAAATGATGCTGCCTGGAGTGCATTGCCATAGCATCCTCCCTGTGCATTTACATGTGCTCCCTTGTCTATGAGCAACTTTGCAATTGCCTCATGGCCTTTATATTATGCTGCCTGGAGTGCATTTCCATAGTCTCCTCCCTGTGCATTTACATCTGCTTCCTTCTCTATGAGAAGTTCTGCAATTGCCTTATGGCCTTTATATGATGCTTCCTGGAGTGCATTTCCAAAGTGTCCTCCCCCCTGTGCATTTACATCTGCTCCCTTGTCTATGAGCAGCTCTGCAATTGCCTCATGTCCACCAAATGATGCTGCCTGGAGTGCATTGCCATAGCATCCTCCCTGTGCATTTACATCTGCTCCCTTGTCTATGAGCAGCTTTGCAATTGCTTCATTGCCTTCACATGATGCTGCCTGCAGTGCATTTCCATCGTATCCTACCCCCTGTGCATTTACATCTGCTCCCTTGTCTATGAGCAGCTCTGCAATCGCCTCATGTCCACCAAATGATGCTACCTGGAGTGCATTTCCAAAATATCCTCCCTGTGCATTTACATCTGCTCCCTTGTCTATGAGCAGCTTTGCAATTGCCTCATGGCCCCCATATGATGCTGCCTGGAGTGCATTTCCATAGTCTCCTCCCTGTGCATTTATATCTGTTGTCATTTCTGACAAAACATATGATGCTTCAGTTAGTCCAGCCTGTGATGCATAATATAGTGGTTTAGCAATCTCAACCCCCATCATCCTGAAGAAGGGCCTATCAATATCATGAATTTTAACCCAGTTCACAAAAGCATTATTTTCATCTGTCAGAAGCTTCATCATCAATACAAATATTGAAGATGACTGAGATTGACTCTTGCAACTAGAATGTGCATGTATGATCCAGTGTTCTGCAGCATATTTTGCAAGAGGGGAAGATACATCCAGATTTTTATCAAGTGGCTCAGATGTGTTGAATTGCAGAAGATAGGCCAGACAGATTTGAGATATGACAGAGTGAGATAGCTCCTCACTGAAACTGAAGTATCTGACTTGCTTCACATTATGGCTTTGAAAATACTGAGATAAGAGATATTCTTTGACAGAAAAGTGAGAAAGCTTGATAAAACCTATTTGATAGTTAGTGCTCATTTCAATCTGTTATTCTTCTAAGCCACACCTTCTCAGTTCATAATAAAACTAGAACATATTCTCAAGACATCCTTGATATCTTGAAGTTCATTATCAGAGTTGTACTCTGGTCCATTCTCAGCAGAAAGATCAACAGCAGAAGTTGCAGCCAGTTCTGTCAGTTCAAGTGGACGAACAGCAAAAGACAGCCACTGTAGAAAGGTTTTAGCATAACCATGATCTTTTTCATTGATGCCCAGCAAGATTCGATCATATGTTTTCTCCAAACCCTGGGGTAGATCAGCTAGCTGCTTTCTTAGATCAGTCCTGGTCTGACACCTTTTGAACTCATTTAGCTGTAATGCAGCCCAACGAAACCTAAGATTTTATTAATAATCATCCTGTCATTGAAATGTTGGTGATAAACATACATTCCATCTGCTTGTTCCATTAACTTTGTCTTTATTTGCTCTTGAGAATCTGAATTCCATTTTTGCAAGTCAGAGACATTCTAAAGCTGATAGTCCAGATAGGCTACAAGATCACGATTCTCAGCTTCCTTAATCAAGTCAAGATAATGAGAAGACTTGAACTTGTCCTCAATCTCCTGTTCTGGGCGGCTAGTAACCATCAAGTGAAGCCCAAGATTTTTATTTTTCTCCAGAATAAAAGTCTGAATCCAGTTAAGAAGTTTTTCTCTTTCAGTACATTCATGAAGAGCATCCAGAATGATGAATGTTGAGTTAAAGCCATCAAGAATTATGTGAAGAGTATTCTGCAGATCACCCAGAGTTGGCTCTTTATGGCCATTGCCACAGCCAGCATACAGATTCACTAAGACTTTGGGGACTCTACCCTCACACTTCAGAGAGAATTGCCAGATGAGTGATCGCAGTAGTTTATCATGCAGCTGGAAATCCTTCTGTGAGTCTCTTCCATCAAAAAAGAAATATGCAGTAGCAGAATTGAATCTCTGGAGAATATTGTGAATTATTGCTGAGCTGTGAAAAGAAAAATCAATTTGATTTCATAAAAATGTTGAAATAATCAACCTTAAAATGGTTTTGCCAGAGCCAGCTGGATAGACTGTCAATAATGTATAAATTTACCAATTTTGACAGAAAACTTACATTTTCCTTTGATCCAGAGAAAGCCAGGCTGTTTGAGCCACCCATAAAATGTATTTCCCTCAAGAAACCATTGACAGGTGTCTGGCTGACTCTCCAGAATTGCATGTGCAGCATTGTAGTTAATAGACTTCTTGGGTGGAGAAAGCCACTTATAAATCTTTTCCACTGTAACAGAAAAATGAAGTCAACTATACATTCACAACAAGAACCTGCAATAATACCCAGTTGGTCATCCCTAATTGTCTCAAGTGTGATTTTAATGTTTGGGTCCACACCTACCAATCACAAACAACATTAAGATGAACATAATGTTTTTCTTACTACTTACCTTGATTGATGGTACCTATTAAAATATAAGCAAAGGCAATAAAATCTGATGATCCAAATGCAACAAACCATAGTTAGGGCCTGTGTTCACATTTTGAGCTGGCGCTGAAATGTTGTTTATAATGTTAGCTTGAAAGTTTGTTGAGGACTCTGCATGGTCTGTCTAATTTGAGCAAGGCTGAACTATATGTATAAGAGTACTGACTGTCTGCATTCAGAGAAGGAATGGGTAGAGGGATAGGCAAGTCAGAACTTGAAAAATCTAAACAGAGTTATCAGAAATAGAACATAGATATCTAAGCAAGCATGAACCTGTCAAGAGGGGAGAAGGGTGTTGCAAGAAATCAACAGCTCCTTGCACAGGACCTTCAATTTGATCAACTGTGAGATAAGAATTGATGAAAGTTAGTATCACATTTATAGCAAAGAGATTGAGGGATATCTCACAGGCAACAGTCATTTCAGTATCTGCTGACACCAGGCCTACATTCAGAACAGGGGCAATTGGTGGAGAGGTAGGCAGGTAAGAACTCAGGATATCTATATCAGTGTTACCAATGATGAATGATACAGGTTTGGGGTGAATGCAGACCACTGGAGATAGGTAAAACTTGTTGCAAGCGGTCAAGCACTTCAACCCCAGAGACATCAACCTGATCACCTGGAATTTTTATTTGATGAGGAATCAATGCTCACTTTGGGGCAGGAAGGTTAAAATGTGTCTTACTGCTGACTGCCATGGCTATGTCCACTGCACTGGTGGATGGAGTTACCAAGATAGGTGGGGGAGAGCTGCACTTCAGTCACCCACTGACCACTGACTATTAGTCATGTAATTTCAGTATATATTACATGACTAATAGCAGTACTGTATTTATTTATTGTACTGAATATATCCAGAATCTCTTCACTTTTGGTCAAACCAGGTGATGTTTCCTCTTTGGGCTGGACCCTGAAGTGAACCCTGAAGGCAGTGCCTGATGTTCTGTGCACCATTCATATCTTTTTCCATTTTCTTTCCTATTTTCTAGCTATTTTTGAATATATTACCCTATTTGGACATATGCCCTGGACCCTGAAAACAACCCCAGATGTCATCACCAACAGAAAGCACTACCCCCATTTTTTTCTGGTTTTTTGGTTATTTTGTAGCTATTTTTAGCTATATTACCATATTTGGAAATGCACCCTGGACCCTGAAAACAACCTCCAACATTGTCCCCAACAGTGAGCAACACCCTAAACTCATCATTTTTCCCTGTATTTTATTGCTATTTTTCATTTAACATAGCCACACCTTCCATATTTGGCAATGGGCAGTGGATCCTGAAAACAGTAGGACCCTACAGCCCCAGGAAAGCATTTACAAACAAAAAGAAATTTATCAATAATACCTCTACTAGTGAAAAATCATAACACACTTTTCTTTGGAACTAGGACCCCAGACACCTCTAGTAGTCTATCCAGAGCCAAAATGTATTCAGTGGTGTGACAGGCAAGTTTGTGACATGTTAACCAAAAAGATTTATTCAGTAGTGACACTGGACACATGACAAGATAATTTGTCTTGGAATACTCTAAAAATATCTTTTGGAAGTTCCTTATTTTGTCCCTGTTTTCCACCAAGAAATACATAATACATCTATAAAGATTCTTTTCAATGAATGAATGTCAAATATTGATAAAATATGTTGGAAAACATGTAGAACATATTGAGATACATATATAGACAATTCAAATTAACCCAATATCTTTCAAGTAAGTTTCTATATGTTTTTAACATGTTTTATAAGTATTTAATCTTCATTTATTGAAAACAATCTTTGTAGATGTATTACATGTTTCTTACTAGAAAACAGAAAAAAAATAAGGAACTTTCAAAAGATATTTTTAGAGTATTTCAGTGCAGATTATTTTGTCATGTGTCCAGTGTGAAACCATGAAATATATTTGTTTCAGAGTCTTGGCATCAAAAAAGATTTATTTAGTGCAAAAAAATAGATTCAGTAGTGAAACCATGAAATATGTTTAATTCAGAGCCTTGGCACCAAAAAGATTTATTTAGTGCAAAAAAATAGATTCAATAGTGTGACAGCTGATTTTGTGACATTTTAAGGAAATAGATACAGTAAAGATTCTGGATATATTCAGTACAATACATAAATACAGTACTACTATTAGTCATGTAATATATATTGAAATTACATGACTAATAGTCAGTGGTCAGTGGGTGACTGAAGTGTAAGTTTCCCTTTTAGGGCATGCACCTTCCTTTTTTGGTCATTTTTCCCACGATACAATAATTGTAGCCCTTTCTTTTAGCATTCTAAATATACTGAAATCATGTTATTTGGTTTTGTTTTCATGGAGAAAAATACAGAAAACAAAAAAAATGCAACACTTTTGAAATTTCTTTACCTCAACACCATATGTGCACCCACCACCTTCTTTATCCCCTTTTCCCCCCATTTTTTTCCCTTCTCTCTTTTCCTTTTTCTTCTTTTGTTTGTTTTCTTTTGATGCGGCTCTCAAAGGCACCCCCATTTCTGAGCGAACGGTGTACATGCACCCACCCCACGTTTTTTCTTTTTTTTTCACTCGTTTTTCTTTCTTTCTTTCATTCTTTTTTCTTTTCTTATTTGTTTTCATTTTAATTCATGTTTTCTTTGTCCCTACAGTGCCGAACACGTGCTCATGGATAGCAGCACAAGTGTTGCACCCCCATGCCAATCTAGACGCCTCACGAACCCCACCACCCAGCCTGCACCCACGGCCTCTGTCCAACCCACACCCACCGACTCTGGCAGGCATCGCTGAGTGGGTGAACCACCAAAGGACAACAACGAAGGCCAAGATGAAGACAATGACAAGGGCGACGAGGATGGTGAATGTGAGAGCAAAGAGGATGGCAAAGGGGGACAGGACGACAAAGGTGAAGGCGAAGAGGACAACAAAAGCGATGCCGAAGAAGACGACAAAGGTGAAGAAGATGACAAAGGTGAAGAGGATGACAAAGGCATAGAGGACGACAAAGGCGAAGACAACGTGCAGATCAGAGACCCCACTGCCAACGACCATCCACACGCCTACGACCAGCCAACCACCAATGACAACCCAACCACCAACGACAACTCAACCGCCGCCAATGGCAACCCAACCACCGTGAATGACAACCCAACTGCTGCCAACAACAACCCAACAGCCAAAGACCAGCCCATCACCAACGACAAAGAAACTGCCAACAACAAGCATGCCACCAACCTGCAATCCATCAATGACATGCAAACTGCCAAGCACCAGGCCACTGCCAACAATGAACACCCAGAGACCAGCAGCATGAATGCCAACGCCCACGCTCAAGCAGAAGGGGGCGTGAACGTGAACCACACCATCAAACCGAAGCCGAAAGCTAAGTCCAAGCCCAAGCCCAGTGTTGGCAAGGAAGTTATGACAAACAAAACAGGTATGTCAGCATCCTTCCATGCCTTATTCTTTACTGCTCTCTCCTCTTGCTGTCAGGATGGTGGATAACCCACCACTGTCCTGACTTGCAGATGTCATGTTGACATTGTGTGTGCCACTCTATACTCACTTGTATTAAAATTATCATGTATTATTTATAATTATTCTATACCTTGATGCTAAAGATGTGTTTCAGATGTTGGCCCTATGTCTCAAGGACATCCAACTGAGCATGCCACTAATAGAAATCAGCCAGAACCTGGGCAAGGTGCTGAAGGTATTATTTTTCCCTTCCATCTGATATTCTCTACTAAATATTATTATAGATGTGGTCATGGCTAGTCCACCAAAGACAAAAATCCCAGCATATGGCTCATCATGCTCAACTGGTGGAGTCATTAGAGGTAAAGCTCATGGCAACACCTTCAACATGGGTGATGCGGATGCAGTCTGGGATGATATGAATGTGTTTTCATACAATCCTTCTGAGAAACCAGTTCCAGGCAAAATTCACACCTATGTCTCTGATCTGAATCTGCCTGAGGTCGACATCAGCCAATCTTCCTTTGTCACCAAGGTCCATGACATCAGCAAATGTCAGACTGTCCAAGATATTGCTCGGCATAGCTCTGAAGACTATTCTCCTATTTGCCGTAAGTTATTTTTTTGTATTTCCTGGTGATCATCCATTACAGCTAACTGCATAATCATAGACCATATCTAAATTTTACTTTGTGCGCTTTTATTTGTACAAACAACCATATTAGGTAGAACACCCTTCCAAGTTGGCAAGTTCCAACCACTCCACCCTTATGACGTGCGGGGTGGGATTGGAGCGTTTGGAGCAACTACCGAAACGGTGCTAGAATGTGGAGCAATAGGCAGCCCGCGCGCATATGGGCATCATGGTTTACATAGCCACGGCCTAAAACGGATGTTTATGCACAACCAAAGGCGCAAAGTGGAATTTCAGATGTGGTCTACGATTATGCAGTTAGCTGTAATCAGCTTGCATAAGTCCTGCCTATTGTCTTTTCATCCATGATGAAGAAGATGGCTGGAATATTCAAGGGCATTATGAGACTATTGTAGGGTGTCAACCAAAAGCAGAAGACTATGTTGAATGGCCTGATCAGAAGGTTATTCAATTTTTGGCAGTAAGCTATAACATATTGACTAACATATCTCAGAATAATTTTGAGAGTTTTATTTCTAGACTACATATGATCCGAGTCATTCTGTATCTGTACCAGGCTTTGCTGGCCATTTTGGTACTTCTCAAGGGACTCAGTCTCATTCTGCAGGAACTTGGTCTCTTTCTGCACATTCTGGCTCTCATACTGGCTCTCGTACAGGCGGGTCTCATGCTGATTCCCATCCTATCTCAGAACAAGGCTCTTCTAAGGATCATTGGCTCATGGGCAAAACAATAACTCCTGCCTTAAGAAAGTGTCTTATTCAAGAGCTTGGTATTAATGCTACATTCAACAACTGTTCTGCACCAGGTCTTCAATTCACTTGGGGTCGATACCAGGAATGTACAGCTGCTATTGCCAAGGCTCGAGAAATGCTCAATGCTGGGAACTGGCCTGCAGACCTTCCTCCTTTCACAGAGTTTATTGTTATAGAGGTCTTCATTGGGAAATCTGCTTGGCATGCTAACTATGTCAATGCATTTTTGAAGATCACTGATGAGGAGACTCAATTCCCAGAAATGAGAGACTGGTTGGACAGTGACCCTGAACAAGTTCATCATTCTGATACTGAACGAATTTGGGGTGTTCAGGACCAGACAAAGTTTACAATGGAGGATGGCGAACACCTAGTCCAGAAGAAGAACACTCAGGGAAAGGAAAGAAGAAGGCTCAGAAGTCTCACAAGAAGGCATTGAAGTAGTAGCTTTTTTTCTCTCTTTTTTTTTGTTGAAGTCACTAATCATTTTTTGATCTATTGTACTTGTAGCTTAGTTTCAGTTGTTCCAAACATTTTTGACAAATCTCTGGTTACTCTTGGTTATCTTGGTTGCAGCATTATATGCACTGTATTCTCTCTTGCTATGGGTCTTTGCCATGCCTTTGTTACTTTGCCACTATTTATGAAGCTAGTTATCATTGTGGCCATTATGCCATTTGTCTCTGCATCTCCAACAACTCAGCCATTTCCTGACATATCATTCAGAGATTTCAGTGCACTTGTGGAACAGACATTTGGCTCCCAAATATCCACTGTACTTCTTCTTTTGTTTACAATGACTGAAAATCCAGAGTTGCTCAATTTACATGCTCGTCAATAACACCCAATTGAAGGTGAAAACAAGACTGTGGCTTCTGGTTGGATTCAAGCTTTGTCCTGTGCTGTTATGCATCACTTGAAAGATAATATTAAAACTGTATTTCGTCATGGAGAATATCATTCCAAACAAATACATCAAGTTACCAAGTTGTCAACTAAACTTGATGAATTTGCAAAATTCTTGAATCTAACACCATATGATAATTGGGGAAAGTTCAAAGGAAGATTACAGCCAGTTTCATATAAGGAAATCCAGGCTGTTCATACTATCTGTCCAAACAGCATTCTTTGTGTTGATGAAAAATGTGCTTCTCAGTGCCTCTTGCAATTAACCAGATCAAGAGATGTTCCACTGGTCACTTTAATCAAAGACAATGTTTCTTATGAAGATGTTCCTGTTCTAGCAGGAAAATGTATGCAATGTAATGCTACATATTATGCAGATCATGAGTGCTTCACAGACAACTATGGCTCATGGTACCAATGTTATTTAAATTTGATGTTATAATTCCACGTCATAATTATTTTGGAGCAGCCAGGTTTTATTGTGTTGAAACAATTACAACACCATGTGGTGTTGTAATCACATGGGTTAAATTTGACAAATCAGAGTCTCCTACCAATATCCTCAATTGGTTAGAGAAGATATATCCTACTGAAGAATCTCGACCACACTACATTTGCATTGATAAAGCTTGTCAAGTACTTCAAACTGCTATTGCAAATGGAAGTTGGAATAGATGGAAGAAAACAACCTGTTTCATTGTCAACTCTTATCATTACATCAATCATCACACCTTGGACTATCTGTGCTGCAAGTGGTGTAACCCTGGTCCATTAAATGGTTCTGCGCCAAATTTGGTCAAAGTTGCTTATGATAAAAATAACCAGCCATACTTTCAGCATGCATTCAATACACAGGTATGTCTGCCTCTCATTTTCTGACAATTTGGTATTAAGCTGGCTCAATGTTAGGCATGTGAGCAATTGAATTCTTGGCTAGGAGGTTTTGAGTCGATTCTCAAACAAATGAAAACTGGACATTTTGATTGGTTCTTGCATACTATGCTTTTTTATCATACTCAGCATGTTATCTGAAAACAAGCACAGCAGGAAGAGCCTCATCAAATTATTGGAATTGAGGATGATGAAGGAGAAGAGGTGGAGGAAGATGTAGAACTGAGACATTGGGCTGTTGAGGAAGATGACTGAAGTACTTAAGTGTCTTATATAGTGTATCAAATGTGTGTGTTGATGCAAGTAGGCAACAAAGCAATACCATCAGAAAGACTGATAGTTTTTGGTAATTACACAAGTAACATTCTTATCATGGTAACACTTGAAAACATCCTTAAACTTGAAAACAATAACCTTCCACCTTGACAGTAAAATCCATCTGGAGGCCACATGGATTCCAGGTGGAGTCCACATGGACTCCATGTGGCCTCCAGATGGATTTGAGATAAAATTGTAGGTTGAGATCTGTTCCATGTGGAGTCCACCTGGAGTCCAGGTGGATCCATGGAGTCGATCTGGAGTCCACATGGAATCCGTGGGGGAGGGTAAAGTACACCAAGAAGGCTAGTACCTTGACCCTTGTTGAAATGATCAAGCATCAACAATATCTTTTTCATTATCATCCAGATCCTCTATGAAATGTTCACTATTCCATGTCATAAATGATAGCCTTTTTCCTAATACTCTGGGTGCATCTGACAAATTTTTACATCTGCACCATTCTCGACAAGTAGCTTTGCAATTAGGTTATAGCCTGCATATAATGCTGCCTGGAGTGCATTTCCATAGTGCCCTCCCTGTGCATTTACATCTGCTCCCTTGTCTATGAGCAGCTTTGCAATTGCCTCATGGCCTCCATATGATGCTGCCTGGAGTGCATTTTGATACACTCCTCCCTGTGCATTTACATCTGCTCCCTTATCTATGAGCAGCTTTGCAATTGCCTCATGGCCTCCATATGATGCTGCCTGGAGTGCATTTACATACACTCCTCCCTGGGCATTTACATCTGCTCCCTTGTCTATGAGAAGCTTTGCAATTGCCTCATGGCCTCCATATGATGCTGCCTGGAGTGCATTTTGATACACTCCTCCCTGTGCATTTACATCTGCTCCCTTGTCTATGAGCAGCTTTGCAATTGCCTCATGGCCTCCATATGATGCTGCCTGGAGTGCATTTCCATACTCTCCTCCCTGTGCATTTACATCTGCTCCCTTGTCTATGAGCAGCTTTGCAATTGCCTCATGGCCTCCATATGATGCTGCCTGGAGTGCATTTTGATACACTCCTCCCTGTGCATTTACATCTGCTCCCTTATCTATGAGCAGCTTTGCAATTGCCTCATGGCCTCCATATGATGCTGCCTGGAGTGCATTTACATACACTCCTCCCTGGGCATTTACATCTGCTCCCTTGTCTATGAGAAGCTTTGCAATTGCCTCATGGCCTTCATATGATGCTGCCTGGAGTGCATTTTGATACACTCCTCCCTGTGCATTTACATCTGCTCCCTTGTCTATGAGCAGCTTTGCAATTGCCTCATGGCCTCCATATGATGCTGCCTGGAGTGCATTTCCAAAGTCTCCTCCCTGTGCATTTACATTTGCTCCCTCCTGTATGAGCAGCTTTGCAATTGCCTCATGACCTCCAGATAATGCTGCCTGGAGTGCATTTCCATACTCTCCTCCCTGGGCATTTACATCTGCTCCCTTGTCTATGAGCAGCTTTGCAATTGCCTCATGGCCTCCATATGATGCTGCCTGGAGTGCATTTCTATACTCTCCTTCCTGGGCATTTACATCTGCTCCCTTCTCTATGAGCAGCTTTGCAATTGCTTCATGGCCTTCATATGATGCTGCCTGAAGTGCATTGCAAAACACTCCTTTCTGGGCATTTACATCTGCTCCCTTGTCTATGAGCAGCTTTGCAATTGCCTCATGGCCTCCATATGATGCTGCCTGGAGTCCATTTCCATACTCTCCTCCCTGGGCATTTACATCTGCTCCCTTGTCTATGAGCAGCTTTGCAATTGCCTCATAGCCTCCATATGATGCTGCCTGGAGTGCATTTCCAAAATATCCTTCCTGTGCATTTACATCTGCTCCCCTGGCTATGAGCAGCTTTGCAATTGCCTCATGGCCTCCATATGATGCTGCCTGGAGTCCATTTCCATACTCTCCTCCCTGGGCATTTACATCTGCTCCCTTGTCTATGAGCAGCTTTGCAATTGCCTCATAGCCTCCATATGATGCTGCCTGGAGTGCATTTCCAAAATATCCTTCCTGTGCATTTACATCTGCTCCCCTGGCTATGAGCAGCTTTGCAATTGCCTCATGGCCTCCATATGATGCTGCCTGGAGTGCATTTCCACACCATCCTCCCTGTGCATGTACATCTGCTCCCTTGTCTATAAGCAGCTTTGCAATTGCCTCATGGCCTTGGTATGATGCTGCTTGGAGTGCATTTCCATACTCTCCTCCCTGGGCATTTACATCTGCTCCCTTTTCTATGAGCAGCTTTGCAATTGCCTCATGGCCTCCATATGATGCTGCCTGCAGTGCATTTCCATAGTATCCTCCCTGTGCATTTATCTCTGTTGTCATTTCTGATAAAACATACGATGCTTCAGTTAGGCCAGCCCGTAATGCATAATATAATGGTTTAGCAATCTCATCCCCCTTCCTCCAAAAGAAGTGCCTATCAATGTCATAAATTTTAACCCAGTTCACAAAAGCATTATTTTCATCTGTCAGAAGCTTCATCATCAATAAAAATATTGAAGATGACTGACATTGACTCTTGCAACTGGAATGTGCATGTATGATCCAGTGTTCTGCAGCATATTTTGCAAGAGGGAAAGATACATCCAGATTTTTATCAAGTGGCTCAGATGTGTTGAATTGCAGAAGATAGGCCAGACAGATTTGAGCTATGACAGAGTGTGATAGCTCCTCACTGAAACTGAAGTATCTGACTTGCTTCACATGATGACTTTGAATATACTGGGATATTAGATATTCCTTGACAGAAAAATGGGAAAGCTTGATGATGCCTATCTAATAGTCAGTGCCCATTTTACTCTGTTATTATTCTAAACCACACCTTCTGATTTCATAATAAAACTAGAACATATTTTCAAGACATCCTCCACATCTTGAAGTTCATTATCAGATTTGTACTCTGGTCCATTCTCAGCAAAAAGATCAATAGAAGCAGTTGCAGCCAACTCTTTTAGTGTCAGTGGACGAACAGCAAATGACAGCCACTGTAGAAAAGTTTTAGCATAGGAATGAGCTTTTTCATTGATTCCCAGCAAGATTCTGTCATAGGTTTTATCTAAACCCTGGGGTAGATCACCTAGCTGCTTCTTGAGATCAGCCTTGGTCCAGCACTTTTTCAGCTCATTTAACTGTAATGCAACCCAACGAAACCTAAAATTGTATTTAATACTCATTCTGTCATTCAAATGTTGATAATAAACATACATTCCATCTGCTTGTTCCATTAACTTCAACTTGATTTCCTCTTGAGTGTCAGAGTCCCATTTTTGCAAGTCAGAGTCATTCTGAAGCTGATAGTCAAGGTAGGCTACAAGATCATGATTCTCAGATTCCTCAACCAAGTCAATATAATGAGAAGACTTGAACTTGTCCTCAATCTCCTGTTCTGGACGGCTAGTAACTAACAAGTGGAGCCCAAGATTTTTATCTTTCTCAAGAATCAAAGTTTGAATCCAGTTAAGAAGCTTTTCTCTTTCGGTACATTCATCAAGAGCATCCAGAATGATGAAAGTTGAACTAAAACCATCAAGAATTGCTTGAAGAGTATTCTGCAGATCACCCAGAGTTGGCTCTTTATGGCCATTGCCACAGTGAGCATACAGATTCACTAAGACTTTAGGCACTCCACCCTCACATTTCAGAGAAAACTGCCAGATGAGTGACCGCAGTAATTTGTCATGCAGCTGGAAATCCTTCTGTGAGTCTCTTCCATCAAAAAAGAAATATGCAGTAGCAGAATTGAATCTTTGGAAAATATTGCAAATTATTGCTGAGCTGTGACAAGAAAAATCAATTTAATTTCATAAAAAATGTTAAAATAATCAACCTTAAAATGGTTTTCCCAGAGCCAGCTGGATAAACTCTCAATAATGTATAAATTTACAAATGTTGACAGAAAACTTACATTTTCCTTTGATCCAGAGAAAGCCAGGCTGTTTGAGCCACCCATAAAATGTATTTCCTTTGAAAAACCATTGACAAGTGTCTGGTTGACTCTCCAGAATTTCATGTGCAGCATTGTAGTTAACAGACTCCTTAGGTGGAGAAAGCCACTGATAAATCTCATTCACTGTAACAAACACATGAGTTGAATTACACATTTGAAGTAAGAACCTGCAATAATACCCAGTTGCTTATCCCCAAACATCTCAAGTTTGATTTGAATATTTGGGTCCACACCTACCAATAACAAACAACATTAAGATGAATATGATGTTTGTCTTACTACTTACCTTGATTGATGATACCTATTAAAATATAAGTCAGGGCAATAAAATCTGATGATCCAAATGCAACAAACCATAGTTAGGGCCTGTGTTTACATTATGAGCTGGAGCTGAAATGTTGTTTATAATGTTAGCTTGTAAGTTTGTTGAGGACTCTGCATGGTCTGTCTAATTTGAGCAAGCCTGAACTATATCTATAAGAGTACTGACTGGTAGACATCAGTTCTGCATTTTTAACAGAAGGAATGGATAGAGAGATAGGCAGGTCAGAACTTGGAAAATCTAAATATTGTTATCAGAAATAGAATATAGAGATTTGAAGCAAGCATGAACCTGTCAAGATAGGAGAAGGGTGTTGCAAGGAATCAGCAGCTCCTTGCATGGGACCTTCAATCTGATCAACTGTGAGATAAGAATTGATGAAGGTTAGTATGAACTTTACAGTGAAGAGATTGAGGGGTATCTCACAGGCAACAGTCATTTCAAGAACAGGGGTGATTGACAGAGTGGTAGGCAGGTAAGAACTCAGGATATCTATATCAGTGTTACCAATGACGAATGACAGAGGTTTGAGGTTAATGCAAACCAGTGGAGATAGGTAAAACTTGTTGCGAGCACTCGAGCCCTCCACCTGCGGAGACATCAACCTGATCACCTGGAAATTTGAATTGATGAGCAATCAATGCTCACTTTGATGCAGGAAGATTAGAATGTATCTTACTGCTGCCTGCCATGGCTATGTCTGCTGCACTGATGGTTGAAGATGGAGTTATCAAGCTAGGCGGGGCGGTGCTGGGGCTGACGGATTCATGTTAATATTTATCTAGTAGCCCGAGATCATGAACTCTAACCTCAAACCATCATAGTGTTTATTACGTGGGTGGTCAGCGATCGTGCCCTCATCGGGCAATTCCTCGAGCTTGCGTTTCAAACGATTTTCGCGGGGGTCAATGGGATCAGACATGGTGGTTCAGAAGAGAGAATCGATGCTGTGCGGCGTCAATCTTCAAAATGGGTAACGAACCGTTTCACAGAGTCAGCTGACGTTCCTGATTGAGGTCCCTTCCACTTGCCTCCCACAGTGGTTCGGCGTCAAGTCAGGCCACAAGGATGGCGGTCAACTGAGAAGTGTGTCAGAGAAGCAAAACGACGAACACCTCTCAAGAATGAGGGAAATTGAAACTCCAAGGGACGAACGAAAGGAAGATGCGTGGTCACGGTCGTGCTTGTTTTGCGTGTGGCTGTGCGAAAGACGACTAAACACACCTCATTACCTTGCGACCCACCTATGGGCCCTCCTACTTGCAAAATCGTTGTTGTCAAGTCGATGTTGTGTTTGTTCGGCCAGCTTCCCGTCGCGAAGTACCCATGAATTCGACTCTCGCCGCGAACCCCCCTCGTCGAATGGACTTTCATGACGAGCCGTCCAATGTTTCCGCTCTGGGTCGTTCAGCTACTGCCGACATCGCCTTGAGACCCGACCTCCCGCCGTGAGCAGAACGAAATTCGATGATCGCTTCCGTCAACTTGTACCGATATAGAGAGAGCGGGGAGATGTTGAGATTGAAAGGATGCGCGAAGAGTTAGCACATGGACTTCATTGCAAAGATGTTTGAGTGCATCGGCTCTGAGTGAGTTCCTCCTTCCGTTGGCCTTGCTCCCCTTCCTACCTTAGCTCGGTTTTCCCTTCTGTTCCGCCATCATACTTTCCTCCCCTCTTCTTCTGCGTTGTATTGATAATCCTGTGACAGTTCCGGTCCTCTCAACTTCGTTTACGAGCGCCATGCTTGTAAAGCGTACAAGACCGCAAACCACAGATTGCTACTGGTACGACAATTACTATCTTGAAATTGGAAGTTTACTAGATGCTTACGGGGTATAAACAAGATTTGAATCGACTTTTTTTTTACTTCAATTCCATCTTTGGACTACCACTCGGTAACTCCTTTCGAAGCCACTTTGCTTAACACGGAGGAGACTCCGTTAGTTCAAGTTGATCGTCAATATCTCGTTCCTACAAGTCGACAAGCCTGTCCTAACGGCCTTTCCGTTGCAGACGTGGGTGGCGTTTTGAATAATGCCCAGCTCGCTACCCTCTCGAAAAGCTCCACATGCCATGCTAGGTCCCTGCCGCCCACCTGCTCATAAGCGCAAGCTTCAGTCGGAGAGCCTGAGAGTAGGGATAATGGCCATCTGTCCTTTGGTAAGTTATCGCCCTTGCCTTACTCATTCATTCGTATCCCCTCTCCCTTTCTCGTCCTCTGTATTCCTTATCCGCACATGTTCGACCTTTAGCTTCGCTAACTGTCCCCTTTCGTCACTCAGGTCCTGGTTTCATACACCAACGCAAGCCCCACTTCGATGCTTGTGCCGTCTTTCCTAGGTCCACCATGACCCGCACGACCCGGCCACTTGCATCCCTTCGTGCGTCGGTTCACGAAGGAAATTTCCCCATAGTTTAATCCTTTTAGCGGACTCGCCTCCATACCGAGCTCATCAATCGAGCAGAACATCGACTCTTTGCCATTGACCGCGGGCAGACCTCTCACATGCATCGGTTGCGCCCGCCTATTCCGCTGTTCGGTCATTTTCCTCTGCCAAAGCTCGCTCAGCGCTCAGATCCTCTCCCGATGCTCTATTCGTCGTTACGTACATGGTATATGTACCCAGTGATGCCAATCTCTGCCCGTACCACAAGAATTCGTTGTCTCTGGGCTCAGCGTTCACACAGCGTAGATTCTCCGTCGTGAGTATCCATCCGCAGCTCGTCCCCGCCACGGGCTGCCACAACGTCACACATGCGGATCGGTGATTGGGCCCTTGTAAGTTTAGATTCGACGCAGCCGGGACGATGGTTACTGATACCTGCCTTCTTTTCCAATAGTTCTATGGCCAATAATGAATTACTGGGGACAAAGACCCAGGGTGAAAAACACCAAACTCATTGGAGGGTCTTCCTCTCTTCTCGGGTGGACACCGACTTGTATGGACGATGGGGGGCGTGGCTATTGCACATAGGTGAGTGATACTTGAGTGCTTCGCATGTGTCGGGTTAGTACTCACAACGATCGTGGATAGGTTTGCTTGGGGTGCGTATGTATGCTCTGCTTTTGCTCCAGAGGATGGATGGTGAGCGTAGCATCTGTAAGTTTAGAAGCTAGTGCAGTATTTGATCGTGTGGTAGCGCTAGCCTCCGTTCTGCCGATCAGGTTTGAGTATAAGAACGCCCTCAAGTGTCAACGTTGGCAAAGCCAGGACGTTCGGCTATGTTACCTGCAATCGAAATTTCCTCATTCTTCGTCCGAGCACGTGAGTACGAAGTGAAGCATCTTTCGTTCGTAAAGTTTACTCACGTGAGCAGGTGCTGTTGAACTTTGAAGCAAATATGTGACGGCGGAAAACATTGTAACGTTGCACCCGCTGAGGCAAACGAGCGGAACCTTTCAGACGACAGCTGGTCTTGTTTTATCGTCTTGACCTCGCCCATCACGCCACCTTTCTAGCACCAGGATGAAAGACGTTGAAACCCTCTCTCAGGACTTCCGCGACGGTCTTTCAATGCCTTATCGAGCAACGAGCATGGCAGATTGAATGCTGATCACAATGAGTTTCTTCTGCGCACACAAACGATACTACTACTAGTAGGGCTACGTACCACGGCGGGTACCGTTATGGTCAACTGCTGTATACATGGGGCTAGATAGTTCGGTGCGTTTCCTCTCTATCCCTTGTAACTCTTCTACTACTACTTAACCGATTGCAGCTGTGAACTAGGACAGGTTTTCCCCTACATAAGAGGCTTCCTTCAATTGTGGAAGTCTGAATGGACAGAAGATGCCTGCATGCCCTGCTTTGATTCTTAGTAGTGGCCCTTCCTCGTTCTTGTGGTCCGCATTTACGCATCTCCTTTCTAGTTTTGGGTTCTCTTCGAGTTTTTCAATCGCCAGCTGATTCCGCACAATCGTTACTGTGCTGGATGTAAGTTGTGTATGCTGGGCTGCTGACAAGTGGCGTCAGGTACGTTAAACATCTATGACCTTCGAAGAGATGATCGACTAACTACATAGGTCTCTGTGGTAGCTTGACTCTCGACGTCTCAAATCGCCACCTGCATGCGTGAAGTGCGCCGCGTTGCCTGTGTAACCCTCCACCAAGGCTATCGAGCCCTTCAACTGAAACACCAAGTTTTCATTGTCTTCATGATCGATCGCGAAGAGCAGGCCCGGCGGCCTCGTCCTCCCGGTTATCTTGAGCGACTTGCAGCCATCTCGCTTCTCACTCGTCCCCGATGCTCTCGTTCTTTTCGGCTGCGTAGGGGAGGGTTGGTGGAAGCGAACTGCCTGTTGCGTCGTGACGTGTGGGTCTTTTTCGTTCGCCCCCCATTCCTACTGAAATCAAACGTATCCAGCGGTACCTCCAGGAGCGGCGATTCCGGGCCACTACTATGCCCTTCCACCTGCAGGCTACGGGAAGACTACGTACATCTTGCCTCCATTCACTGCAGGTCGGTATCCCTGACTAACATCTCCACGACTTGAAGGACTGATCACAACTCATACAGGGAAAGGAAACCCAGCTACATGTCTTATTATTCGACTAAGATGGCTGGAATACTGTTGACCTTTAACGTGCCAACATTATGTCCAAACTATTCTTCCGAGGAACCGTGCTCATAGACCGTTCTTCCTCCGCACCAAGAAGTGGGATTCCTTATCGAGGGTGTCACCCATCCATGAAGGTGGTTGTTCTGCTGTGCTGGAGGCGGACTTAAACCAGTCCTAGATCCTTTCTCCGCACCTCGTAACTTCTTTGTAGCAAAGAGCTTCCGCGTAAGGTGTCCTGCGCTGACTCCGACTAGGCAAGATACCAGTCGATTGTTTTCTCATTCATTTATAACCTCTGTCGCGCATATCTGATAGTTACTGAAGCGATATTTCATGTTTTGTATGTAGCGCGGGAGTTGTACACGATACGACATGCTACAGATGGCCCATGGGTCCTTGCTGCGTAGATTCCGCACAGTAACTTGTTTTACGACCTCCCGAATAGACGCTAACCGAAGTTGGACCAACTTCCATACCCTACAAACGGAGACTGACCGGCTGAGAGCAAAGACCGTGACAAGGTTCTGAGATGCATGCATGAGTAAGGACAGAAAGGGAGAACCAAAAGGACGAACCACAGGAGGGTGAAGAGTCCCATTGCGAGAGTGAATGGCCTAGCAAAATGAGTTTAACAGGCACCTGTATCACGGGGATAGTGGTAGTGAAAAGATCTTCGTGATCGTTGGTAAGGGTAGTCGTTCTGTCAAAGGGATGGATGGTGTTTGTTCGTGTCATCGAGGAACAATTTGAGAGACTTACCATGCAGATAGGAACTCCACAGCACGGCCGTCCTCAATTCCAAGTGCAAACTGAAAGGGCAGGAGCGGCTAGTCGAAATCCTAACGGGGGTGAGGGCAGCGGCTACAGGTAATGGAAGTTAAATGCTTAAAAATCAAAGAACGAGGGAAGCGAGGGGTCATGCTTACCCCAGTCGAAAGTCGCTCTCCAAAAACTTTGTCACCATCAGGGATAACCATCCCTCTTGATCGCCACCCCCAAACCGTTTCCTCTCTGCTATCCTCCATCCAAGCAAGAACGGGGTAGCGGGATTCTGTGCTGTCCTATACTTGGCTCGGCCATGCGCTCGGAGTTGATCACCCAGTGCCTTTCCTTCAAGGTATTGAGTGGATTTTAGGAATGTCGTGCAAGCAGCAGCCCAGAGTTGGCTACAGGTAGGAGAAGGGGAGGAGGGCATGAACGAATGAGAATGGGGTGGACTTTGCAAGTCTGTATGCCGGTGTCAGCAACGTGTTTTTCAAAAAAAAAAAGAGAGAGGAGAGAAGAAGTACGTACTTGGACTTCATCAGCTATGTAGAACGATCCGCGCACATCCCAGTCGAAGAACCCATTCCATCGGGACGTTCCCTTCGAATACAGCGTGTCTTCTCGGTTTCACGGATGGACCATAACGATGAAGAGGGCGCGATGACGATAGACGGGTGAAGTTCAGGGAAACCTTTGTTGTTTACTTGGTACGCGAAGGCGACGCGGCGGCTGGAGATGGACGTTGAAACTTTTGCTTATGCATGGTCAACGATCTAGAGCGGCATGCCATTGACGAGTCGAGAAGATGCGATAACACTTTCGTGGGTCGTGAAATTGAAGGCTGAGCGGAGCGTTACAAGGCGAGTTCTCTGCGAAAAGCACGGTAAGGGAAGGAAGAAGAGGAGAAGGCACGAACTCACCCTGATGTGTTCTCCAGTCTCATATCACTCGGAACGACGTACTCACACTGGTGCGCGTCCTCATCGATCAGTCCTCTAGAGTTACGACTATGAGATCCGACGTCATCAGACGAATGTGACGCACTGTGACCCTCGTTGGACTGAACACTCCTGACATTTCTTCGTCTTTCGTCCGAGAGCATGTGAGTACGAAGTGGAGCATTTTTTGTGCGTAAAGCTTACTGACGTGAGCAGGTGTGGTTGAACTTTGAAGCAAATGTATGACCAGGCAAACGTCAAAACATAGCTATATACATCAGAAGTAACGACGTTTGAACGACGTCGACTCACAGATGCCAACATTTCACCACTGGTCCAACATATGGAGTCCTGTCGGGCCATTCCAGTGAGTGCTGAATCCGCTGTAACCTCCAAGCACCAGCACCGTCGATCTTGAATGGACGATTGTAACGTTGCCTGCTGGTTTCTCTTATTATTGTAAGTTTCTCGTCTAAAAGAGCTTGTAATCCCACTGATTCTCCTCTTAGCCTCCTAGGGGAAGATCACCATCACCCCGTCCACCCTCTGCACTCCGAAACGCGTTCTTTCCAGACGCCTCAACAGGGATCGATCCAGACTCTTTCTCCGACAACGGCTCAGACGACAACGACGACCGAGGGAAATGGCAGCAACCTTCCCCATCGCCCGCCTCATACGTCTCCCGCCCTCGCGGCCAGCTTCGTTCAAAGGATGGGCTGTTTTGTTGGAGGCATTGCACCGCGATCGCCTATGCCAAACGACGCAGAGCTACATAGGAGCTGAAGCGGAGAGGAAACGCGGCCATCATCGTAGTGAGGCCGAAGCTATACTCACGCGGGAGGCTCAGCAGAGGAAAGTCATCGAAGAATGTGTGCTGGCAATGATGGAGAGACGCTCCCACCACCTCCATCTAGAACTCAAACAATGTCTAGAAAGACCCTCCGACGCCAGCTCAGCAAATTATATTGAACGCAAAGGCGAGGAATAAGGATAAGAAGACCGCGAAAGGAAAGGAGAAGGAGTGGCCTGCAAACGCCCAAGGCAAACTCACCGATCCAGCCTTCGTGGACCTACACATTCCAACACACCCATCGAACGCGTCTGGGTACCCTCCTCCCCGTCCGAGTCTCTCGAAAATGACACCCAACTTAACGCCGTCTCCCATGTGTACAACCGACACCCTGTCTTCTTCCCCTTCTCGCGAGGCTCCACCTCTGTATGCACAGTTCACATCCCAAGGAACGCTAGACGTACCAGGAACACTGCTCATGGTAGCCAAACGCTTCGAGAAGCTCAAAAAATGGACCGTGGGCCACGTGGGTGAACGATGTAAAGAAGTGGTTAGTCGACAAGGAATCGGAGAAAGAAAAGGACAAGGCATCGGAAGCCGAGTCGCCAAGACACGCGGGTACGACGGATAACGTGAAAGATGAAATCCATCCATGACTTCCGAGACGAAGTCGTTGAGCTCCAAGGCCGTTTAGGCGAACTAGGTCGGGAGATGGCGAAAATTGCAACGGCCCCCAACGATCATTCTACGGGATTCAAAACGTAGTCCGCCTCTGTATCGGGGTCGGTAGCCTCCATCGTCACGCCTCCGACGTCTTCCATCGTAACCCACTTGACAGGATCACTGTCAGGACCCAGCATGCCCATCCACCATCGCAGGTTATCAAGTACCACTGCGACGAGCCCTCCGATGACTTCGAAGAAGAGAGAGTCGGGCACGAGGTTACCGTACCATGCGGGAGATTATTCTTCTCCGCCAGACACGCTCTCTCCTGGTAATTCTCCACCTTCGTCAATTAGTTCCGCCATGAGGCCGTTGTCTACGGCCATTTCGGGGCTACCCCTCCATACATCCTCAGGACTGGGTACACTACCAGGTTCTTCGTATTCCACCACCTCACTTTCCTCCCTGGCTTCGGGTACGGGCAGGCCGCCGTCCCCACCTGCTCAACCCAAGTTCGCTCCTGCCTCTGCTTCTGCCAATCGAACGGCCAGCCCAACACCCCCACCAGCAAAAGGACGAGGAACATAACAACGATTGCCTCCCCCCGAAATCGGCTGCTGGTAAACGACAAACGAGTGTAAGCCCCACGCCGAGGAAACGGTACACCGTTGCGCTTGGGGGGTCGATAACCGCGCCGCCTGATGAGGATGAGTTTTCCTCGAACGCTGCTTCCTTGTTCTGTACCACCGCCGCCAACACCGCCGCCAATACCAATGCCAATATTCATACCCATACGGATCCACCTGCTACTGCTCCTTTGTTGAGAAGGGTAGGCACACCGCGGTGGTACTCCCGTGTGATTGGGGGTCATTTTCCGTTTCTCCCTTAGGGGACGATGACGACGACAAGAAGGAGGAGGAAGGAGCAGGTGAATTCGGAGAGGGTGAAGAAACAATCGGCAAATCTTCCGGCATCAAGCTCAAGAACGCGAATGGGAGTCTGTCTTCCACCACCTCAAACTCGATATCGCCTGGTGGACCTGGGGGTGGCGATTACAAGTCCACAGCCACGACCTCCCCATCGCCATCCACTCGTCGGATCAGGGCACAGAGCGCGTACGGGTACGCTAGCCTCCTCCCTCCCCAGACTCCATTACAGACTCCTACCATGGGGACCACCGCGCCGCTAAAGCCGAAGTTGAGGTCCCGCTCTTCTGAGCGGCTTTCCTCTGGTACCAGCTCCATTGGGACGGGAGACGGAATGATAAGTGGTGGTCTTGGAGGAGGGGGGGACCAAGTTCGTGGACCCGTTGTTGTTGAGGAGGCACCAGCAAAGTCAAGAGGGGTTACAGGTGAAGATGCCAATGCCAAAACCTGTGGGGAAGGTCCTGATTGGGCAGTTGGTTGTGTTTCTTGATGGGGAGGACATAGGTTGGCTGGGTGGGAGAAAGTTTTTTTTTTTTGAAGTGGGATGGATGGATGAACACCAAGTGGGATAAAGGAAGGAAAGAAGGCGGCAAGGAGAGAGACTAATGGGCATGGATCTGGAATGATGGATATGCTATGTACCTCTGACTTGCTTTACTTATACCCTCCCAATGACATAACAGTACTGACACTTGTTTTTTATGCAACCCCAGTTTTTTTTTGCTTGAATACTTTTTTGGTATATGTTGTCTATTGACACTTGAAACAGGGTCATTATTAATCACAAGGGGCAAACAGGGTTTGTCGCCTGGTAAAGAGGTAATAAGCAGATAGTTCTGTTAAATAGTTAACTCCACATTAGTGTCTAAAATGTTTAAATAAAAAAGATTCATTGTTATTTCAACTTTGCAGCCACTGAAAGGTGATATCGTGTAGGTAAAATATTTATTGGTGGTTTGTTATGGCTGGAATGACTAAAAAACAAAAGAAATTTTTGCAAGGAAAGGAAGATAAAGAAAGACACTGCTCTCTCTACAT